ATTTATATATGATATATACTGATACTGTAAAATTATTGACAAACCACCATGCGTGATGTGCGAGTCCTCACCACTTGGGAGCATGAGCAACTTTGCCCAGAGACCAACCCTGCCTCTTGAGGAGGTGCTACCAAAGCAGCCAATTTCCGATCCAAACAGCGCAAAGTCGACGGGATTAGCTCGTATTTCCACTGGCGCTTCACCTGAAGGCCACCCGTGTTTCATATCGGAATTGGCTTTGCTTCCTTTTGTTCTGGTCATTGGATTTTCTTTCCCTTGATCTACTGTATCTCTGCAAAGTGAACCTCAATTCAACCACTGATGAGTGTCGATGGCCGTGTAGGCAGCATAGGCCGCATGAGTGAATTTTCCGGATGTGCTGCTTAAATGACTGCATCTGAAAATGGGCTCTCTCACTGGCAAACACCCCACCACGCGACCAGCTTTCCACATCAAGTACAGGCAGGCCACCAAGGACAGTGCGCGCTTGGCCCAAAGCCGACAGCTGCCAGCCTCATAGAGATCCCACACTGCATTGAGTATGGCACCGGATGAATGATGTGCCTGTAACATGGCCGAATCCAGTTTCAGCCAGTTTCCCGCTGCAAAGAACCCACTGGAGACGACTTGGCATTTGCATGATTCGTTCTTGCCAACGTGGGCATCCCACCCAAAGCGGTGAGCGTTCATGGCGCCTTCAAAGGTCCAAATTCATCACCGAGGAGAGCCTGGCAACAAGCGAACATCACCGTGAAATCTGAACAACATGTGCTTGTGAGTTTCAACTTGCATCTCATGAAAACGAATCGTCGCAAATCCACTGGTTTGTGATTCCTTCTTTTGGCAAGAACATGTGGCATGATGTCCGCACCCATTAAGGGTTAAATCGAACCATGCGAGCTTCAACAGTTTTGGCTGCAGAATCATTTCAGTATCCAGTCAGCACCTCCAACAGTGTGGGCCACAATGACAAGGCACCGGGCAGTAGCAGGCGTTCGACCTGGAGAGTTGCAGGTCGAACGGAACGGAGCAGAACAATTCACACGATATGATTGAACTTGACCTTGATCACACCCAATCTCCAGCTTTGAATCTCCAGCTGCTTGGTGACATTGGATGACATTGGTATGTTGGCATGGACAAACTTGGAGAGAAAGTCAAAAAGGGTCCCGCAACTCTTCCCAACTTCCCTCTTGATTCGTTTGCGACATCACGTTTCCAGGACAAACAAGACAGAGGTCCGGACTAAACATTGCAGTGCGCGGCTCAAAGCACTTGGCACCATGTCGGAGTCGACACCTCACTTGCTTCGCTCTCTGACAAACAAACAAGGGGGACATGAACAGGGCGAACGCTTGGCTTGTATGACACCAAATCAACACTCGAACCATACGTTTGTCCCGCTAAGTGCGTCATCTCTTCGGTCTTTCTCCAAAGAACAAACCAAAAAATAAACGACACGAAACAGTCACTTGGTTCTTGCATGTTCTCTCCGGCCTGGGCGTTTACCTTTCAGCAGCTCGGAGCGTAAAGCGGGCACCTGGCCATTCGCAGTTTCTATGTGCTCCCAAGTTATGAACAGCGTATCCGATGACTGAGTTTGCATGCATTTATATTGCAAATCTTTTCACAAATGCGGGGTTCTTCTATGTCCTTTTCCCCCAACTCTGGGGCACTTTAGGACTCTTTAGGTCCGATTCATCCAAAGGATCACCAGCCCGGGAAGCCTTTTGGAATGGCAATGACCTTTCCTTTCCCAGGTCCAATCAAGGCAATTCGATTCCAACCGACCCGACCCTGTGAGAATCCAAGTGATGGCTGTGGGTCAAGACCAGGACCATTCTGAGCATTCTGGTTGACCCATCTGCTACAGGTTTCAGGCACCTTGGTGCATGTCTCCAGTAGGGATTCCAAGGCTTGGCTACGCAAGAGCGCCTGCAGGATCCGGTGACGGTCACACGGATCCGACGCCAAATGACCGATACACCGTGACTTCAATCCAACATGAACAAATATATTAAAAGAAATCAAACAAAAATGGTTTGGTGATGGTTTATGTTACCACATGTGTGGGCGAATGCTTGTCACCCACCTTGTTGTTGTTGTTGTTTTTTGGGATGCGAGAGCTGCTGGCGTAAGAGTGGACAGAGCTGCATCTTGAGAACACTGCTTCAGGTTCTCTCACATTTATCCAGACATATTTTATAGTATATGTAACCTGTCATTTTTTTGGAATTCTGTGATGCTTTCAATGGCTGGAACTTCAAATTGCTTTTGGAGGATAGCTTCAAAAAGCATCAAAAGACTCAGGGGGTGATGAGAGAGGCGAGGGAGGCAGCGGACTCTGGAGTTGCGATGCTGCTTGCTCTGTAGTTGCTGACACGTGTCAAATCCGTTTCGGTCCGTTTCTCCTCCCTGCCAGTGAGGCCCTGTGGGGGAAGACAGCAACCCACGGGTCTTGACACTGAAGTGCCTGGTAGAAGGACAAAGGTTCTGCCTCAGTTGCAACAGGGTCGAAGAGCCAACCTATCAAACGGTCAGTCCATGGTTTCGGCAAATAGGGATCCTGAGAAATTTATCTTGTTAGGAATTTCTGCTGTTGGCGAAGCAAGCGCGATCCCAAGGCTCGAGCCAAGCCATGATCGCCTGCACAGTCAAAAGGCATTGGACTAGACTCCAACACCAAGACCAACACCAAAATCCGTAGGTCCCTTCAAACATATGGAGTTGAAACGTAGACTTGAGCAGCTGTCGTGGCCACATGCGGGACCCTTGGGGAAAGGACAAAGACATAAATAACATCACCACACCCAAGATCACCCAAGCAGTGGTGAACCCCTCTGGGGCTTTCCGGTGGTCATATTCAATCAAGTCCATGCTTTGAGAATTGAGATTATGTTTAGAGTGTGATTGGTTTTGACATGCTCTGACTCAACCTGTTTGCTGGCTTGGCCAGATCAATTCTCCCTCCAAGTGCCTAGCGGAGCTTCGGTGTATCGATTTCTTAAATAGGTCAACAGGACCCCGATGGGACTTGACTATGTTGATCCGAGTTCACTATGTCACCATGTTCACCCTGTTAGGTCTCTGACCTTCACAGCTTTCCCTTCCAAACATCACCCTAGGGAGTATCTTTTCACATCTCGTTGACTCATGTCGACTCCACAGACCATCGCTGGAAAGCCGAGTCTCCGGTTCCCGGAAAGACTGCTTTGCTCCTCTGCCTTGCTACATCTTGCTACTGTACTCAAAAACAGTGAGAGGATGTCATGATGTAAGGGTAAAGAACCCCCTTATAAAGGCACCGTCTGGTCTCTTCCTTTCTTTTTCCCTCTCGTCACTCTCGTCTTCTCTTCTTCTTTTGCTTTGGACACCGTCTCCGCACCATGGACCGTTTCGCCTGGCATCTCCCGCCCCAAAGTGAAGGAGCCCTGTCCGCTGTCGCTGCGCTCCACCTGGAAACGACAAGAAAACTCCTAGTAGCTTCTTGTTCCTAGTAGTAAGGAGCCCCTAGTAGCTTGTTGTTCCTAGTAGTAAGGTCAGGAGCCCCTAGTAGCTCCTGGTTCCTAGGAGTAAGGTCAGGAGCCCCTAGTAGCTTCTTGTTCCTAGTAGTAAGGTCAGGAGCCCCTAGTAGCTTCTTGTTCCTAGTAGTAAGGTCAGGAACCCCTAGTAGCTTCTGGCTCCCAGTAGTATGGAGTCCCCAGTAGCTTCTTGTTCCTAGTAGTAAGGCCAGGAGCCCCTAGTAGTTTCTTGTTCCTAGTAGTAAGGTCAGGAGCCCCTAGTAGCTTCTTTTTCCCAGTAGTAAGGCCAGGAGCCCCTAGTAGCTTCTTGTTCCCAGTAGTAAGGCCAGGAGCCCCTAGTAGCTTCTTGTTTCAGGAACCCCTAGTAGCTTCTTGATCCTAGTAGTAAGGTCAGGAGTCCCTAGTAGCTTCTTGTTCCCAGTAGTAAGGCCAGGGGCCCCTAGTAGCTTCTTGTTCCCAGTAGTAAGGTCAGGAGCCACTAGTAGCTTCTAGTAGTAAGACCAGGGCCCCTAGTAGGTTCTGGTTCCTAGTAGTAAGGTCAGGAGCCCCTAGTTCCTAGTAGTAAGGTCAGGAGCCCCTACTGTAGTAGCTTCTTGTTCCCAGTAGTAAGGCCAGGGGCCCCTATAGTAGCTTCTAGTAGTAAGGCCAGGAGCCCCTAGTAGCTTCTTGTTCCTAGTAGTAAGGTCAGGAGCCCCTTGTAGCCTCTTGTTCCTGGTAGTAAGGTCAGGAGCCCCTAGTAGATTCTTGTTCCCAGTTGTAAGGCCAGGAGCCTCTAGCAGCTTCTTGTTAAGGTCAGGAGCCCCTAGTAGCTTCTTGTTCCTAGTAGTAAGGCCAGGAGCC